TTCACAACAGTCCTTCCCATCTTCCTGCTCTTACATTCTTTCTGCACCCCTTGCCCTGAGCCTGAGACCTGAAAACTCAGTCACGGGGTCTTAGCACTTTAACCAGAAGTCTCTGTATTAACTGAGAGGCCCGCTGCAAAAACAGGTTTTTCTGACCAAAGTTGAGATTAGAGCAAATTAGGGGCATACACATAAATATTTAGAATGGAGTTTGACAGCATAATAAAACATTATAGGCTTCCCCCAGGGTCTATCACTTCTTCAGACAGCCTTGAATTCCCTCATGCAGAGCAAGCCTTAGGTCTGATCAGATAGCAGGGGGTTGCCCACAGCCATCATGCCACTATTGTACCAGTGGGACGTGAATGGAGGTTCCCAGAAAGAAGCTGCACCTTCCATTAAATCTTCTACCAGGCCAATCAACTGATAAAAATTGAAAGACTTTAGAAATGCCGGAATGTTGCAATTTATCTCGAGCTGTCTTTTGCCCCCTGAACAGTCATCCCTTGTCCACCTTTGGGCCTGACCTAATATCCTTTAACTTAAAACCCAGTCTCTACCAATCAAAAAACTGAGAACATCATCAGTTAGCATGTGAGGCCTATTGCTGAGATTTTTCCACTTTGCTGCAACCACTTACTATTTCCACCAATGTTTTTGAAAAGCACCTTGATTTATGACTTCTTTGTCTGTTACTATGAAAAATCATGAAATCTGGGCTAATATGAATCTGTGGTTATTCATATTTGGCGTCAGAACAATCTCATCCTGTTTGGGGTGACAGTTGTGTTTTTGTGTTGATAGGGAACGTTTTGAAAAACTAAATTTTCTTTTCTTTTCTTGCTTTTTGTTTTGTTTTGTTTTTCAAGACATAGTTTCTCTGTGTAACCCTGGCTGGCCTAGCACTCACTCTGTAGACCAGGCTGGCCACAAACTCAGAGATCCATCTACCTCTGCCTCCTGAGTGCTAGGATTAAAGATGTGCACCACCATCACCTGGTGAAAAGATTTTAAAAGCTCAATCATTTTTCAACCATAGTGTAAATATTTGTATTTGTTTATTACGATGTGTGTGATGTGTACACCCTGGTGCATGTGCAGTTGGTGCTCTCCTTCTGCCCCAGGTGCTAGGACTGAACCGAGGGTGCTGTGTTTGCCTTTCCTGGCAAGCATCCTACCCAGTGAGCCATCTTGTTAACTGTAAGAGGTATAGCTGGGATGAAGTAGCTCAGTGGTCAAGCACTTACTTAGCATAAGCCCTGGGTTCTATTCCTTCCTAGAACTATACAAAGAACAGCAAATCTCCCCAAAACCAAAGAAATGAAGCTTTCTACTTACAGGGAATATTCAAGAGCAAGAAACACTGAAACACAAACATCCTTCCCATAGCTAAGAACACTAACAAACATCAGGGACACTTGCCGAGGAACTGGACTCCAAAACAAGATATTTTATTTCTGAAAACTTGCCTAGTCCAAAAACACGGTCAAGGACAGTTTTACATCTGGTGGATACTGGAGAAGTCAGTAGTAATTTATACTGAGAATTTACACAGGGGTCAGAACTGGACCACTCCATGGGTACTACTGTTTCCATCAGAGTCCTGTTGAGGACACTGTCACCAGCACTGCCATGTGGGGGAGCCCAATTTGGACCAACAGTCTTACATACTTTACATCCTCATTTTAAGGGAACAGATCTGAAAAACAACTCCACTTTAAAACATTTTTGATGTTTTTCTTTAGTTGTGAAATCCAGGATTGATCCTAGTGTTCAGTTTCTTTATCAAGTCACATGGCTGCTGGTGATGAAGCCCCAAGCAGCCTCAGAGACTTGTCTGATCTGGGGGAAGAATTCAGATTCCTGGGATAGTTACATCTGGAAAGGACTTGACTACCTCAAAGCCTAAAATGACCTTATCACTATCCAGTTTCATTGTAGCTTGACATTTCTTTAGGCTAGTGGTTCTCAAACTGTGGGTAACAACCGCTTGACAAACCTCTATCTCTAAAAAACATTTACATTCTGATCCATGACAGTAGCAAAATTACAGCTATGAAGTAGCAACAAAAAATAATTTTATGACTGGGGGTCACCACAACATGAGGAATTGTATTAAAAGTCACAGCATTAAGAAGATTGAGAACCACAACTTTAGATAAAGTAATACAATATTGGCAATTAAAGCTGAGCTTGTCAAAAAAGATACTTTTGTATTATTTCAAATACTGAACCAGGCTGGGTGTGGTGGTGCACACTTTTAATTCCAGAACTTGGGAGGCAGACCTCTGTGAATTCAAAGCCAGCCTGGTCTACAAAGTGATGCAGAACTTATTTCAATAGATGAATAAATTAATTAATTAATTAAATACTGAACCAGTTGTCCTTAACACTCACCATAGAGTAAGTCATCTTAGGCTTTCAAAGAGCAACCAGAGAGCTAGGGGACTGGCAGAGCTGTCACCCGTGGAGAGCAGCACTCTCTGGAAAGATTGTGGTAACTCCATTTAAAATGTGTCTTGGGCTGGGTATGGTAACGCGCCTGCAATGCAATGCTAGCACTGAGGTGGTGGAGACAGGAGGAGCCTGTTGGCCCCCCAGTCTAGATGAAGGTGTGGAGTCCAGATTTAGAGACTCTGTCTCAAAAATGAGATGGAAAATGATAGAAACACACACACACACACAGTGCCTATCTGTGACCTCCACGCATGTATACAAAGGTGCACATACCCAAACATATACACACATGTATATAACACATGTCAATTAATAGTAATTAATTAATCAAACAAAATCTGACCTGGCAGGGTGTGATAGCATTTAACTGTAAATCCCAACATTTGAGAGTCTGAGGAATCAAGATTACTGTAGATCTGAGACCAGTTAAACTATACAGTGAATTGAGGACAGTCTGTCATATATATATATATATATATATATATATATATATCAAAAAAAACAAGCAAATACACAGTCATTCAGGCATAAGCAAACCATTTTTCTTTCTTTCTTTTCTTTTTCTTTTTTTTGGTTTTTCTTTTGAGACAGGGTTTCTCTGTGTAGTTTTGGAGCCTGTCCTAGAACTCACTTTGTAGACCAGCCTGGGCTTGAACTCATATAGATCCTCCTGCCTCTGCCTCCCGAGTGCTGGGATTAAAGGCATGTGCCACCAATGTGCAAACCATTTTCAAATGGAGAAGATTAAAAGTATTCTCTCCACCTGGGGACCTCCACTAAAACACTTTCTAGTTAGTTTGCTGGGTGTGGTGGCACAGTCCTGTAATCTAGCCCTGGGAGGGCTAAGGCACAGAGATCTTGAAGTCAAGATTAACTTGAGAGACAAATGGAGACTGTCTCAAAAAAACAAAAGTCATGGAGCATTTTGAGTTGATAAAGAGCTGACTGCCATTGTTGTGGCTCTAGGTGAGGCGGCAGATACAGGAACTATCCAGAAAAGAGGGGGGGGGAGATTAAGAGACAGAAAGAACTGTGGGAAAAGAGAAGGAAGCAGTTCTTCCCTCTAGGGAGAGGGAAAGTTCAGGGTGGGAATAAAAAATATTTATCCTCAGTTCCAGAAGATTCTAGAAATATAAAGGGAGACTGCAAAGTCAAATCTAGTGCCTACTGGACACCATCCCGGAGACATCTACCTGTGTTGACAGCTGTCAGTGTTCATCCGACAGCAGGACATGACTCAGACATGTGGGCCACTGATCCTTGAAAGTAAATGAAAGTGGATGGTGACCACCTTAGAGTTCCTTCCCTTGTGTGTCTCTTGTCCACAGAAGGACTTCTCTTGAGCCCATAGATCCCTAAGTAGTTCTCAGCTAGGAAAGTCCCTTCAGCCACAGCCGACTCCACCCATGCTCAGATCCCATCCCTATGACAGACTACACAGTATTTATGCCCAGTAGCCTGAGCCCTTAAGAGTCAGGGCAGGGAGTAGGAGCCGGGGTGCAGGCTGGAAGTAGGAAGTGAAAATATGCCTCGGAGAGGAGTAGGGCTGCCCGGCTGCTTCCTGTGGATGATGCAACAGCTTCTGCCACAGGTGGTGTGGGGGTGACCCTGGGAGTGTCTGCAACTGACAGACTGGGATTTACCTCACTAGGCTGCCTCAGGCAAGCTTCGCCTATTCTAGGGACAGGAGGGTGGTGTGTTATGAGTGGAGGCCAGGCCTGCTTGCCTTCAAGGCAGTAGATAGAGCCAACAATTTAAACCATGGTCCCATTGTTCGATTGCTGATGGAGAAAGGACCTTAGCTTTCTTAAACAGAAAACAGCTCAGTCTTGGGTTGTCTTGACACCCAGGTTGTAACACCAGGTCCGACTGTCTGTAAGTGCTCCACCATGGTGAAGGCTAGTTTGCTCTACTGAAGGTCCTGGGCCGGACTGATGGGCTATTGTCAGCCTTTGGATTGAACCCCTGCTGTGGCAGACTTTATTCTGCTTAGCAAGGACTTAAGTGTGAGTGTTAGAAGGTCTGCCTTTGGTAGAACCCAGATCTGATGTTTGGCATGGGTTTCCTTCTAGTCTCCCTAGACAGGTGGGCTTGGGGAATGGGACATCAGACCTTTCTGGGCAAAGCCACTGGGGAGGGAGCTCAGCCTCCCTGAGAAGCATACGGTTCTATTGCTTGTCTTGTTCCAGAGCTGTTGCTTTGCCATAGCCTGCTCCTGTCCCTAGTGTCTCTTTGATCCTGTGTGTAGTATATAAAATGCCATAAGTTATATACATTCGGGATACCTGTACCTCTAGTACCTCTAGATCCTGGCGTGGAGCTTAACACGAAGCATCACTGCTTGTTTGATGAATTCTCATCTCTCCCTTATTGCTTGAGACCTCTTCCTACTTCAGCACGTGGGGGCAAAAAGGTTGGCTGGGAAGCAGCCGTTCTAACGTGCTTTCTCAACCTATACCCTCCTAAGTGCCAAGGTCAAAATCTAAAGGACACTGGACAGTCATTTTTCTGTTGCTGTGATAAAACACCATGACCAAAATCAATTTATGGAAGGAAGAGTTTATTTGACTTATGGTTCCAGAAGGATGAGAGCCCAAGCAAGGAAACACCGGGCAGCATGGCGGCAGGAACAGAAAGCTGACAGCGCACATATCCAACAGCAACCACGGAAGACAAAGCAAGTAACCTGGGAATGGCTCCAGGATTTTAATTCCAAAGGCTCTTGGGAAGCACTGTGAAAACCAAAATGATGTTTTGAGTTTTAATTGCTGTGCCTAAGAGATCCATAAAACAAAACAAAAAGGACAGACACTTCCTGAAATGCTGGGGGCTATTGCTTGTTTTCACTGCCCTGACCATGCTTGTTTGACCCAACTACACTGAATGTGATTGATCACATGGAGGTGGAAGGTACAGGCAGGAAATATGTCAGGATGTACGCTTACCCCATTGGACCTAATGAGAACAGAGTGACCTTATAAGGTTGCCTTTTTAAGCCCCTGTAAAATACAACTCATCTCCATTTTCTAGGAGCCCAGGAATGGACCTGGCCAGAGTCCATCATCCTGGCCAGTTTTAATTAGAGCTTGCTTCAGATCTGGCTCAAAACTAAAGTAGTGGTTCTTTTGTTTGTTTTTGAGACAAGGTTTCTCTGTATAGTTTTTGAGCCTGCCCTGAAACTTGCTGGGTTTGAACTCACAGAGATCTGCCTGCCTCTGCCTCCTGAGTGCTGGGATCAAAGGCGTGCACCACCACCACCCAGCTACATAGTAGTGGTTTTATCTCCCTTGGTGGGGTTAACAGTACTTCCTTAGAAAGGCGTCCCACCTAACCCTCACGGGACAGCGCCACCAACTGGGGACCGAGCATCCGAATGCCTGATGCTATGGGGACATTCTTGTTCAAACCAGCAGACATTGTCAGGAGGGGTTGGTCCCCACCCTTCCCAGTGTCAGGAGTCCTTGGTAGCAGTCCATCTCTTTGGTCTCCTCTGAAAAATCTTGTAACTCCTCTGTTAATCCCAAAGAAAAGTATGTAATGCATACTAACACACTTTTGTCCGAAAGAGGCTGCCCTCTTTTGGTGTTAGTGAAGCCACAGGAGTATACTTTGATTGGATCTCTCCAGCCCTTGGGAAGATAAGGCCAGTTCTTTCCCTTGGGTCTGGGCGACAGGTGGGAATGGAGTACAGAACACTGCCCTGGTACCTGGCTTGGGATTTTTCTTTTAGTAAACTGTCTGCAGGGACCAGGGACAACTGACATCATCTCTGTTGCCTTGAGGGGTTCCCTCTGCTGATGAGAACCTAAGGAGGGCCAGGTGTTCCAAGGCCAAACACAATTTAGACCAGACTTAGTGAAAACCCTCCAAGGCTGCTGTCTCCCAACTTTGTGACACTTGTTTCTGTTCCTTTTCAAATGTGAAGGTGCACTCCTGTGTTCACTCTGCAAATGTGTCCTGAGGAGTCTCTAAAACAAGACTGAACCTGTGCACAGGGCCTGAACTATGCATCTTTCAGGTTGTCCTGGATCTAGTGTGCTTTAGTTCTTGCTTTCAAACCCCCTAGATGCTGCTTCTTCAGCACCTGCTTCTAACATCTGAATCCCCCTGAGTCCATAATTGTGAGTAGTAAGCACGGTTTGCAGAAGCTAATCTGTTCCGGTATAGTCTTTGAACTCATGGCAATCCTCCTGCCGTAGCTCTCCAGCGCTTCGATGGGGTACTGCTTCCACACTTGTCTCGCATATCACTTTTTTCTGTCAGTTTCCCTCTCTCACACACACACTGCAACTCAGAAAAGAGGGTTGTATGTCTGTACAGGCAGAACGATGCATAGAGAGAGAATTTGTCCAGCAAAGGAGAGGACCCCCTAAACCTTGGAGGTCCCCAGTCTTCCTACATGCCCGATCCCCCTCCTGAAGGGAGCCAAGAGGAAAGCACCATGGACTTCCCGGGCCAGACCTCACCTTACATGAATCAGTTTCCCATCTATTCCTTTTCTGGAGTCACCAGAAACCTCATTAACCCCAGGACAGCTTGCCTGCTAACGCCTGTTAGTCAGCTTTAAAAAAGACCCTCCCAGCGATCCAGTTAGGGGAGCTTGAGAGCCCATTCCGTCACCCTTGCCAGGTGAAACAATGCTGAGGGCTCCTGCCTGCTCCCTGCAGAGGGCTGGCGTTTTTCTTTGCATCTTCCCACGTTGTCCAGAGGCTCCTCCTCCCTCTTGGCCTCCTGGCTAACACTTTTCTCTGGGAACCCTCTTTGCAGTGCCAGCTTCAGTCAACAGAGAACAAATTGGAGTGGGGAGGTGGGAAGGGAAGGGCAAAATTGTCCAAAATGAAGATTGCTCTGCCCTGATGCATATTTGCTCAAAGTTGGATGCCTCTACTCCTATGCTGCTGCTGCTGCTGTATCCCAGGAGACTCAACTCAGATCCCCAGCTGGCAGGTCCTGACGCTTGCTCTGTCCGAGTACTGCAGGAGGAGAAAGGGCCAAGAGGGGGAGGGGTCTGCTTTGACAATAGTGAGTGGAAGGAGTGAGGCTCCTGACCTCTCCGAACTCTTTATCCCAGACAACCCTTCTCTGGTCCCTCCTGCTGGGAGGCTGGGCCTCCTGCTCTTTGACCCTAAAGGTTGATCTTACCAGAGACCAAGTCACCAGAAGTAGCCTGAGGGAGAAGGCTGGGGAGAGGTCTGAGCTTCCTACCATCTTACAAGTTCCCAGGCTCACTGAGGCTGTCTTCTGGGTCTCCAGCACCGTTCTCCCACAAGGATGATGCTTGCCTTTTGTCTTTGAGCTCGGGTCTCCCTGGATAGCCCAGTTTACCTCAAACTCCTGACTTTTTGCTGTAGTCTCCCTGGTGCTGGGACTACAGGTGAGCATCACCATGATTTTCAACCCTTTGTAAAGCAGTAGATTCCTTTGTGCGCACCCACCAACACCGTTTAGACACGTGGGTGGTGTGTTCACAGCTCTGACACTCAGGACTCTGGAGAGCTCCGTGGGTCTGCAGATTTGGGGTGAAAATCATGTTTTTGTTTTCGTGGCTTCCCAGCCTTGTGACCCAATTCTGACATGCATGGCTGGGGTAAAGTAAGTGGCTTTAGTGAGAAAGGTAGAACATTACTCCTCAGGGTCTGCAGGGGACTCAATGCTGCTTTGTCCTTCAGTTCTAGTTAAGACCCTGCAGTGGCTTGAATAAGAACGGTCCCTGTAGGCTCATATATTTGAATACTTAGTCACCAGGGAGTGGAACTGTTCTAGAAGGGTCAGGAGGAAGTGTGTCACTGGAGGTGGGCTTTGAGGTTTCAAAAGCCCATGCCAGACCCAGTCTTGCTTTCTCGTCTATGTTTTATCACCATGATCACCATCCTCCCTGCCATGATGATAATGGACTGATTAACCCTCTGAAACTGCAGGCAAGCCCTCAATTAAATGCTTTCTCTTATAAGAGTTGCCATGGCCATAGTGTCTCTTCACAGCAATAGAATAGTGACTAAGACAGATCCCAAGAGAAGCACTTAGCTAGCCCGAGGCAAGGGCCCAGGGAGATGTTGGTGATGAAGATGAACGGAAGGGATCCAGTGCATGGCTAGCAATGGTGGGTTCCTCATGTTTTTCTGAGCCACTGGTCCTTCATCTCCCCATATGTGGCACTCTGTCCCAGGTCACTCTGGCCCCCTGACAATCTCTCTTGGTCTCCTTTTGTACTTCCTTTTTGCTACAGCATCTCTTGTTGAACATCTATCGATTCCTAGTAGGATTGGGCTCCTGGCCAACCTCGACCCTCTTCTCTGTCTTTCTCCTTATCTCTGTTGCCTGGGATTAGGACTTTCTTACAGGAGCAATCACAGACCACAGCCCTCTGCACACCTGTTTCATTCTTCACTTCTTTCAGATGAATTTTGAGGAAACAAAGGAAATAACAGTAAGGGCATAAGGAACCTGGCATGGTGGTGCACGCCTGTAATCCCAGCTTTTGGAAGACGGAGGCAGGAAGATCAGGAGGTCACCTTTGACTGTATACAGAGTGTAATGTCAGCCTGTTACACACAAGGCACTATCTCAAAAATCAAGCCTGCCTCCATCACAGCTGTGGCAGGAATTGGCTCCTTTCACTGACTTCTGCTCCCTCCTCCCTCGATGCTCCCCTCTCTTCCTCTCTGTTTTCCCCAAATTCATCTGTAAAACCTTTGCTGCCAGCCCTCTATAAAATACAGATTCCTCAGCCTGGTTTTCCAGGCGCACCTCTGCAGTCTGATTTGAACCTGCCTGGCCACACTTAAGCATCTAAATCAAGGTGAGGATGCCAGATTGCTTGGTGGAGGGCCCTTGCTTCCTCCGACAAGCTTTCCAGCTGAGTACTTTATTCTAACTTCCTGCCCTCTCTGGGCCTGGGTTGTTTTATTTGGATTTTACTTAATGAAAAATTCCTCATTTTTCTAAGCCCGACTCAAAGTTTCTGCATTCTGAATTTTTCTGCACCCATCAGCCATCCTTATTCCTAGACTGAACGCCATTCATGCTGCTTTCCATTATTCGCAGGTGGGGTAGAAGTTCACTGCGGTCAGGCACCAGAAGTCTGGCACTTAGTCCTATACCTGGCACACGGCAGGTGTTCTAGAAATGTGTAGTCATCCTTGGATCGACCATAGTACGTGAGCTGCGTTTTGCTTTCCCAGCGGCCCATGAAGTCTTCTGATGGGACCATCAACAGGGTGTGTCGGCTGCCTAAGCTGCCCTCTTGATCTCTCCTCTGCCAGAATCTTTTTTTTTTCCCGCACATGTTCTTGCCCAGTCCAGAAGAGAGGACGTGGGCTTCTTATTGCACTTGCCGGATCCAAATGTCATTTGGTTACAGAGGAGGGCACATGTGTTCACCTCCAGCTTTCCTCCGACCCGCCCAAGCAGGCGATAGGGAGCCCCCCTTCACTAGGGACCGACAACTAGTTTTTCCGTTGCAAGCCGCTGAAAGCTCCCAGCCTCCTTTTGAGCCGGCTTTCTGGAAACCCCGCAATAATTCAGTCCATTTCCAAATAGACAAAAGTCACTTCGGCGCCCCGTCCTCCCACCTAGTGGAGAACCCAGGGATTCTCTTGCGCTTTTGGGGCCTGTCTTAGGAACCGAATCCTCACCCGATACAGCGCTGCAATTACGCTTCTGGCGAAGGTCAGAAATGCGCTCGGCCCCTTACAGTGTTTCCAAGGGAAGGTTTGTACATTGGTGACCGTCCCTGGCAGCTGCCCAGCCTGAGACTTGGAGCTCCACTTGTCATTGGTCAATGGTTGGAGTGACGCGGAGGGGCGGGGCCTCATCAGCTGTTTGCGGGATGCCCGGAGCGGGCGTATTTTGGAAACAATACCGCGCGGTGCGCCGTGGCCTCCTCCCGCGCCAGCTCGCGCCCGCAGCAGCCAGTGCCCCAGCTCGCGCCACCGCCTCCTGCCGCAGCCCGGTGAGCTCCCGGGCGGCCGGGGGCCAGGCGGAGTTGGATCGTGCCTCCTCCGGGAAGTGGGGAGCGGAGTCGCGCGGCGCGTGGGGGCCCGGGAAGGGTTTGGATTGCGGACATCTGGGGTGACCATGAGGAGTTGGGGTGCTGGGATGTGGGAACGGGGTGCAAAGCACAAATTTTGGCGTGCTGTTCCATGCGGGGCTTTCGGGAAACATTTGGAACTTGGAGTTGAGAGTAGGTGGGCAAGTGACCCTGGGGTGCATTGCCAAGCGCTCGGAACGTTCTGACCTCCGGGTCTGACTCTGGGGTGGGGCCGTGAGTTGTGGTGCTTTTTGCCTCTCTGCGAAGTCTGAAGGGTCCTCTTCTTAACAGCTGGAGTTTGCCCCCTCCTTCCCAATCGAGTGTGGGCTCCAAGCCCCCCGAGTGCTCGTCACCCTGGACCCTGGCGCAGAGCCCTGGCATCACGACTCGGAGGCTGAGACTCTGTCCTGGAGTCACCCAGGTGTGTGTGCGCTGGTGTGTGCGCGCGCGCGTGTGTTTTGAGATCTTAGCCACTATCGAGGTTCAAGGTGTCTGGCTAGTTCCATCTCCCCAGAAGAGGAGGAGTTTTAATTGAGCATCCCGGTTGGAGCTCTGAGGCTCTGGGATGGCTCCAGCGGACTTTAATCCGTTTGCTGGGAATAAAGCATTCTCTGGCTGTGCTCTCAGGAAGTGCCCTCTTCCTACCAGTCTGGACATTATCACTTTAGCTCAGGGAAGCTGAAGGTCTCTACTTTTTCCCCATTTTACGTTTGTATTTGCCCAGAACCCTCGGAGGCGGAGGCTCACACCAACCGGAGAACCACCTGCAGTTCTTGTGCAGAGCGGGAGGGGGGTCTCCGCGTTTTCAGAGTCACACCCTCTGGCTGCACCTCCCCCACTGTCCAGTCTAGGCAAGGGTTGAACTTTGGGGCTTTGCTGGGAGGGGGAGGGGAGTGATAGGCATCAAAAGAAACACCAAGACAATGACTCCTACTTGTGATTGGCTCTGGAGGATCCCTACTTTGGTTGGGATTGCCAGCCTGCAGAGAAGGGGTTGAAGGACAGAACCCCTCCTAGGTGACAGCCCTTGTTCCTTTTATCTGGGAACTTGATTTTTCTGTTGCTGACAAGCTGGAGTTCCCCCTTACCAATTGGAACAATATCCAAAGATACCTGCTTTGCCATCCTAGCAGGCATGGTATCAATCTCCAGGGAAGAGTCAGAGACAAGACCACAAGTAGCTCAGGGATGTGAGGTTGAGGCAAGAAACTCATTGAGTTCACATTTGGGAAAGGAAGGTTTCTGAATTAACTGAGATTTTTTTAAAGACAAAGCTTTTCTTTTGAAAGATTTCTTTAAAAACCCACAAACCATTTGACTTGTCTTTCAAAGGCAAGACCCTAGGGAGTCAGAAGAGTCTGAAGATTACCAAATTTGTTTTTGCATTGCCTTGACCATTCAGGTGCTTGCTGATGCTTCTGGTTGCCCCCCCCCCCCGGGGCATGCTTGGAAGCTCAAACTGCTGGGTGACTCCAAGTGCAGAATTTCACGAGCCGTCAGGTGGAGCGAGAGGAACTTAACACTAAGACACAGCCCCCACGGTGTAGGCAGTGAGAGAACACAGCAAGAGGACTGAATTTCACTTCCTTCTGTGAGGCACATTGCACCTATCTCAGGGTCAGCTCTGGTAGGAGAGGGAGGCTGTGTGGATGAAAATTTGAAGTCATAGAGATTAGAGGGTAGAATTAGCAGGACACTTTGCTAGAGACTGATTCAACCCTCAAGATTAACCTGTGGTGGGCAGACAGCTCTGCTCCAGTGGAAGAGAGCTGAGCCAGGCAGCTGGAGTGACTAACTTAGGTCCCCTGTTCCAGGACACTCTCACCATACCACAGAGCCTGTTTGTTGTGTTGTGCAAGGAGGGGGGGGTGGAGATGTGCCGAGGGGCGGGGCTTAGCAGGTTAGGAGGGAACCTGGCTGCTCTACAATTGCTGGCTTTTGTTTTTGCTGCTGAGCCTGGAGTTCAGCTCAGACCTAAGGGAGAGCTTGGAGATTCCTCCTCAGGGTGTGTGTGTGTGTGTGTGTGTGTGTGTGTGTGTGTGTGTGTGTGTGTGTGTGTGTGACTTACAGAGGTTAGTCTTGCTTATTATTTTCCCAGGTACCCTGTGGTAGCACCCGATCCTACCACTTGCTTACAACCCTCAGTGTTAAGCTTTGTGACCAGCCTAGGCCAGAGAGGGTGGGGAAAGGTGGCTCTCGTGGGTGCAGGGAGGAGGGATGGAGGGACCTGACCGTTGGGGTGGTCCACACTTTCCAGGTGAATGTCACCCTTGGCAGTGTTTAATTACCAGAGTTGTGTATCATCAGAAGCTGGCTTGGTTCCCTCAAGTGAGAAGAATGGGAAAGGAAGGAGGGAGAGGAGAATCCGTGGTCTGGCCTCAGTGGGACAGCATCCCAGATGCCTCCATTGTTCTCTGACAGGAGAGATGGAGCCACCTCAGTGTGTGGAGGAGCTGGAAGATGATGTGTTCCAGTCAGAGGATGGGGAGCCAGGGACACAACCTGGGAGCTTGCTCTCTGCTGACCCGTTTGCCCAGAGCCAGCTGGATTGTCCCCTCAGCCGGCTTCAGCTCTTCCCTCTCACTCACTGCTGTGGTCCTGGGCTCCGGCCCATAAGCCAGGAAGACAAGGCCACCCAGACCCTCAGCCCAGCCTCCCCAAGCCAGGGTGTTATGCTGCCTTGTGGGGTGACAGAGGAACCCCAGAGACTCTTTTACGGTGAGTGCTCTTAGCCTTAGAGATTGGGGGAAATGAGGGGACTTTCCCTTCCCAAACCTGCTCGGTACTATTTCCTTCCCCAAACTGAACAACGGCCAGGGCTATCGATCAGTTCATCAACTTTCAACCCTCTTCACCCGTGCTTGGGCCCCCAAAGGCCAGATGGCTTTATTCTTTCTGCTTCTTCCTTGGGTCCATGCAAGAGATCTCCTTCACATCCCGCGGCTCCTCCGCGGCTCTGCCTTTTGGGCCGGGCTGCTGATTTGCCTTTCCCGAAGTGGAAGGGAATGCTAAATTGTGTGTCACTGTTGACACTCAAGAAAAAGCCCAGCCAGCTCTTACACGGAAGGTTCCTGAAGACAGAAGGTGGCTTTGAGTTGTCATTTGGGACTTTCTGTGCTTGGAAGGGGAACTGGAGAAAAGAGGTTGGGCCTGCCTGGGCTCCGTGCCAGCAGAGGGGCTGTTTCCAAGGCTAAATCAGACAAGACCCCTTCATTTGTGGGCTTAAATGGTTTGTTTTATGGGAAATATGCCCTCCTCTGGCAAAAGGGCAGGAGTAGACACTTGGTCTGTTTTCTTCTTTTAGCACACTGGCCTGTGGAGGGAGGGTAAAGGCTCAGAGGTCATCCTGCTGTGTCTGCGGGAGCCGACTGAGAAGCCGCTGCGCTTAATCTCAGAGGGAACTGCCCATAGGGCACTTCTGGAAAAGCAGTTCTTGGCGGGAGTCTAAGAAGCTGGAGGAGGCCTGCTTCGGGCTGGAAGAGGGAGGAGGCAGGAGGTGGCAGGCGCCCCCAGCGGCCATTCTGGTGCCAGCACTCGGTGAGCCGACTTGGCTGCTCTGTGGGCTTCAGGAGTTTTCTCACTTGCTTTTCTGCTGCTGCTCTGATCTTTGAATGCTGAGCCCAGCTTTCCTTAACTGTACTAGAAAAACGAAGACACTTTTGGGTTTTTTGTTTGTTTTGCTTTTCTCTGTGTCCTTTGCTCAACCCGGGAACTCTCGAGAGTTTTCCCAGAGAAGAGTTTCAGAGTAATACATTGAGGTCAAGTATAGCTTGATAAATGACAGAAGATCGGTGTGTTCATCATACACATTAGCACTCTGTGCTATGCCATGGTGCTGAGAGTGGAGAGAAGGCAGGGTCTGTATTCTTCTCTGTTTTTCCAGGGTGTGTGTGTGTGTGTGTGTGTGTGTGTGTGATTGAACCTCATCTCTCGTGTGCTAAATATTCTGCTACTTCTAAGCTACACTCTCAGCCCTTGTGCCAACTTTCATATTCTTGGGCAGCTCTGCAAGATTGTCAGAATGCCCTGGTAAAGGCAGGCAGACTGCTTCCTCTTCCTTCTATCCTAAGATTTACTCCAGGTCGAGACCAGAAAGGATTGACGTGGAGAAGATGGGGGGGGGTAGAAAATGTTGACATGTGGACCCCTCCCTCTATCTTTGCAGGCAATGCTGGCTACAGGCTTCCTCTCCCTGCCAGTTTCCCCGCAGGCTTGCCCCTCGGGGAGCAGCCCCCTGAAGGACAGTGGCAACATCGAGCAGAGGTACAGATCGCCAGAAAGCTTCAGTGTATTGCTGACCAGTTCCATCGGCTGCACATACAACAAGTAGGCATGAGGGCTGGAGGTGGGGTGGGGGCAGGGAAGCCAGGGCCTGCCTTTTGTCCTCTTGTCGGTACCCAGGAGTTGCCAGGCCTCAGGATATGTTTCAGAGTTTTGGTCTTGCCTACTGTCGTTATGATGGACCGGGTAGGCACAGTTAGATGAGTTAGTCTTGTCCTTGAGAGCTCCAGCTGCCTACTTAGCTTCACAAGAGGTGGGAGATACTGGGATCCCTTCCCGCCAATGGGATGGCTTCCTGGTTGGACAAACTCCCCGGACCCAAGTTGGGGGCTTGTCTCTTGTAGACTGCCGAAGTGAAACTGAGCAGTTGGGGGTGTGCCTGGCGGAGGAACAGTGGGAAACCGGTAATCAGTCCTGAGATGGGGCCTGAGTGGGGGAAAGTGGTAGAACCGGTTGAAACCCGACACTTTCCAGCTGGGGAGCCACTCCTCACTGTCTGTGTCTGGGAACCCGGGCCCAGGACTCTGGAGATTGTACCTCGGAGTGTCTCCAGACCTGCGACCGGCGGCGGGGCGCTCTGCCTGGTGCTTGGCCGGCAGCCTGGCACCAGCCCCGCCGGGGCGGAGCATCGCGTGTCAGCCGAGCATGTGGCAGAGTCCATCAACAAAGGCGGCGGCTGGCAGGCTCGTGCTGGAGCCCGTTGTGCCATGGATGGGAGGCTGTCTTGCTCGACAGCCCTAGCCACCGCCTGCGCTGGGCCCCCAGGTGCTTAACCCTTCCCAGACTGGCTGGCTTTTTGGATGGCTGCCAAGGCAGGGGAGGAGCCTGAAGCTGGATCCTTGCTGGTACAGATACTACCTGGCAAAGCCACAACACAGGGAAATGAACACAACCTCTACCTATAGGACTGTGTTCCTATCCTAGCTGTGTGTGTGTGTGTGTGTGTGTGTGTGTGTGTGTGTGTGTGTGTGTGTGTGTGTGTGTGTAAATCACAGGATCGAATAACTATCAGGGCTGGGCTCAACCTGGGAAACTTCAGATGACCAGAACAGTTACTGGTAGTTATAGCTTTGACTTGGGAACAAACCCTTGCCAGCCAGTGGGTGGAGGAATTGACCTTGAGTTTTCTGAGAACAGGCCACAGGGTGTTATTGGTATTCATCTGTGTCAGGGAGTTGGAGGTTTGGGTTTTCCCCAGCCCTTAAGTGATTTGGAAAGAGGGTGGCCCTGAGCTTAGGTTATAAGGCAGCCTGGCTAATTGCTGTGGCCCAGCCACAGTCTCTGTTCCCTCTCTGATTATATTGTACAGACTTGGCTTAGTGAGTCCCCTGCAGTCCATGTACGGATGGACGCCCTCTGAGTCTTACCTTCAGCCTCTTGTGAAGGTGGGAAGACACAGTGACTGTAGTGTCTAGCCTCATCTAGAACACGTCTGGAAGACCTTCTTCCTTCCTTCAGAGCCTCTCTTAGCAGCTGTTTCCTGTGATAGTCCGCTGTCCATTAGTGAGCCCTGACATACTGGACACTAGACTAGAGGCCTACTCACTGCTGGACCTAGCTAGGTTCAGGAGGAGACCCTATCCTGAAGTCTCCTGTAGCAGGCTTTCTTGGACTGCCAGCCCCAAATCATGACATGGAGACTTATTATTAATTATGAATGCCTGGCCTTAGCTTTAGGCTTGTTTCTAGCTGGCTTTTCAAAACTTAAACTTAAATATTTATATTAATTCATGTGCTGCCCCAAGGCTGGCTTACCTCATGTACATACTGTCCATCCTGCTTTCCTGTCTCCTCTGCCTAGCTATTGGCTGTCCAACTTTTTATTAGACCAACCAGGTACCTCAGGCAGGCAAGGTGAAACAGCAATACATCTTTACACTAACAGATAAAGCATTTCTTCATATAGTTAAACAATTATTATGTCACACATCTTTACATAAACTAATATTCTATTCCACAACAGACCTTTCTCCCAGTTTAGGCTTGCTTCTTTGAGGGCACAGGTCAGCTCTGGATGAGGTGCTAGCATCTCATCTAGAGCGCCCCTTAGAGGTTGGAAGGAGAATTGCATGAGAGTGTTAGTTGCCCTTTAGTCCCTGTAATAGACTTCAGTGATGATGTAGAGCCTCAGCCCAGGCTGGCCGTGACTCACTACATAACTGAAGATGGCTTTTAACTTGTGATCCACCTCTTATGTACTGAGATGGCAGATTTATACCACTGTGCTTGATTTATATGGTGCTGGTGACCAAGCCCAGGCCTTCCTGGATGCTAGGCAAGTATCCAGTCAACTGAGTTCTCCCTCCAGTTCCTCAGCTGTTGTTGCTGTGGTCATTTCTCTTCCTGTTCTCCTGCACAGGGAGATGTGGGGCGTGACAGAGATGTAGGATGGTGTGCTGGCAGATTGGGTTTCTCTGTCGAGGCCCAGGGGTAGCAGGTGTCAATTCATGTTGGCCACATTCCTTATACCTACCTCTAAGCGATTTGCTATCTTACCACATTCCCTGAGGAGTGGGGAGAGGTGGAAGACCAACCTGGTTCCCCAAGGGGCTGGTTCAGAGTGACTTCTCTGGATTCATGGGCAATGAGTCTGCAGGCAGAAGCCGTCGGGTTTCTAAAGCAGTGAGAAAGTTGGAGGTGAGTGGAGGTAAAAGGTCCCTTCCTCCCCACTGCTTCCCTTCCCTCCCTCTCCCTCACTCCTCCTTCCCTTCCCTCCCTCCCCCCTCCTTCCCCACCCTCCTCCTCTTTCCCTCCCCCCTCCCCTCTGTCCTTCTTTTCCCTCCCTCTCCCCTCCCTCCTCCCCCCTCCTTCCCTTCCCTCCCTGCCCTCCTTTTGGTTTTGAGTAGGTGAGGCAGGGTCTTGCTGTATAACTGGCTTCAGTCTCCCTGAGTTCTGGGATTACAGGCATGCACCACGGTGTCTAGTTTAAGGGGAAGCGTTTTCAAACTTCCCCATGTATTCCACCTGTTTCTGCTGGGTCAGAGGGAGGCACGCGTTCTGTTCTGTTTTGACTGGCAGGCAGCAGAGGGATCTTTAATACCTGGCCAACAGGGATGTCCTTGGAGTTGGGTTCTAAGAGGGTGGCCCCTCCAGTTTCTCTGCAGAGGTGGGGGAGATCAGATTAAGTTCTTGACAAACTCACAGCTGCCCTGCTCAGGTCAGAGCCTCTGTTTCTCTGTGTTTTCTGTGAATGGATCCTCCAGCCAGTGTGGGCCTAGGGACAGTCAGTACCTAGTTTCCTTCCCGAAGGAATATTTCTAGACAGTGTTGAGAAGCTCAAAAAAAAAAAAGTAGCTACTGTAGGCTCTCGAGTAAGTGAACAAGAGGGTTAGCGTTATTTATATTGGAATTTTCTTTCTCTTACTTGGCCCAGGAGTGGCTCCATTCAGAAAAAAAATCAGATTTAGAAATTCCCTAGATAGTAATTCGATATTTTAGAAAATGACCTCTAAAGAAGCCATCTTCATTTGTAATATCAAAGGACAGATGGTAGATTTGCAGGCAGGTCTGAGGAGAATTCCCTTTCTGTCATTTACACATGCTGTGTTTGTGAGCAAATCATTTTACTGGTCCAGACCTCAGGTTCCAAGGTTAACCTTGCAGGGCTGCTGTGAAAGGCCTTTGGGAATTGTAATAAAAGCACTATTGGCATTGGCTTGAGCTCAGGTGAGTATTAAAGTCTTGTCTAGCATCCTGGAGGCCCTGGCTTTCATGTTCAGGGCTGCAAAAAAACAAAAACAAGAAACTATGATAGCTTGGAGAGTTGAACACAGGCTAGCATGTTAGCAAGGCTGGAGCAAGGCAGGAGGATCACAAGTTCAAGGACCACCAGGGCAACTTGGTAAGACCCTGACTCAAAAAGGGAACAAGGACATAGCTCAGTGGTGGGAAGCTTGCCTGGTATGTGCCTGGATTTTGCTTGGACCTGACTTTATAATTCTTGGGCAGCTCTTTTGGAAGTTGTACCCAGACTGGTGTTTGCATGGTTCATCACCTAGCAGCTTCTCTGCTTCACATCTTAGATCCTTTGTTCTGGGAGTCCCTGATTGCCTTCTGAGCCTTAGGATGCTCTCCACGTTGGTGAGTGGTTTTCTGGAGCAGAGACCATGGCTAATGAGGTCACTCAGGCTCCAGAAAGAACAGCACTGTGCAGGGGCCCCAGAGATTTGTCCTAGAGTGAAAAGTGTCCCTAGGAAGCCATCTTCTGTCCCAGGAATAGGAGGTCTATGCCAGACAGCTAGGGGAAGAATGGGGCTGGGGGAGGGGTCGCTGGAAGCTCAGTGTTCGTGAGAGTCTGTGCTGGGGCTTGGGGGCCCTGTGTTTGCTCTGTGGCTGGCTCTGTTTATATCACTCGCTATATTTAGCTTCTGAGTCATCAGCGTGGCAGACTGGAGGCCGAGTTCCCCACACACTTTGCACCTGACTGTTCTTTCTTCCAAGAGAAGGCCTTCTAGTTCCGGGCAGTTCATCCCTCTCTGCCCATCGAGACAGGCCATGGGGATGGGAGCTAGCCTTGGTGTGTTTTCAGGGTGGGGGAGGTGGTGGGAAGACAGGATTGGAGAAAGCACAAAGAAGAATGAAGAAAAATGCCTGGTTTGCAAGTCAAGAGGGCACATTCCATGACCAAAGCAAGAACAGCCTGCCTGTGTGCTGAGAGGAGGGTTCCAAACCTTATCCTTGCCCACTCTGCCTTGTCCTGCCCAGCAGACTCACCCCATACAGGAAAAGAAGAGCCAGCTGCAAAAGCTCCAATGAGCCTGGGGGTTCAGTCTCCATAGCTGTGTAGTCTCACAACCTGCTGGCCTGCTCCTCTGGCCTCCTCCCTCCTCCCTCCCTCCTCATCGGCTGAGACACTTCTCTGCTGTGCTCTTCAGGACTTATGTCATGGAGCTGGTCTGAGATAGATGAAAACTGAGACACCCCAAGGGAGCTAGGTAAGGGTGTCCGTAGTTTCTACCTCCAGGCTATGGAGGTAGGGACATGGGTAGTGTTCCACGGCTCTGTCTCTTGCCTAGCCACTTGACCCCCAGTGGCCAGATCCAGTG